AGCTGAATTCTTCCAAAATCCCACTCACAATTTGCTTTTTTTCTACTGAAGCTTTGAAAAATAGAAGATAAATCATTGCCAAAAAAATTCTTCTCATTATTGGACCCCCTCTAGATACTTGTACTGGTTTCCATATTCTCAAAAACCGTAGCAGTGTTCAAACGAGCCAACTTCCCCATACAGAAACAAACAGGGATACCACAGATCCCCCTGCTGAAGCATTTTTCGATTCAATTGATATTTGGTTGTCTCATCACTCCACAACCCTACCATGGTATAAACACAACCTCATTATATGTTGTCTTGAGTCAATCCCATCTCCCAGGGCACCTACTCAGCAAAACCCAAACCAAGTTGTTCACATTATAAAGAGTTTGTACGCCAACATCGAAAGATAAAGGCCACTCAAGGTTGGTTTGAGCATCCAACCCAAACCAACTGACCCTAGACGGAGAGGCTCCTCAACTATATAAACCAACATCTAGTGACCAAATTATTTTGATGATGGTACAAGCTATCTTTCCACCCTATCTCACGAGAGTCCTAGACTCGCACATCTTGGGTTAACAAATAGATAAACATGCATATAATGAAATTCAAATGGGTAAGTGTCTTGGCCCATTGACCATCCAAGACTCAATTTTGATACCATGAAAACACAGATCAAAAAATGAAAAGTAGAAGGAGAAGAGGAAGAGAAAAGAAAACTTCGAGAGCTACCACATATTCAACACACAAATGGAAAAAAACGTATAAGAGATAATAAAAAACTACAGCAAGGAAAAGAATATACTACCCCTGATGAAATATGCATACATAATATACAATCTTACAGTGCATTTCCATGTCAATCATCAAAGATGAATCCTTTCCTTTCTTGTTTCTTTTTTCCTCAACTACCATGATGCAATCCAACTTTTACTATGAATAGAGTTGCAATGCTTTATGCTATCTATAGGGTATCAAGCCAAGACTTTCATGACAACTTCATAGGTGTAGTTTCCCTGCCCTTTTTGGCAATATTGAATTCAAAATGGTACAATTAGGAATCTTAGGAGTCAGAGTAATATACGTTTTTAGTATTCCCTGGAGAAATCACCCCACAGATACATATCAACTTATTCAGAAGTTTAAACTTCTTCATATTGAGAACCACCTAACCCCACTATCCCCCAGTCTTTCGATTGGGCCTTTACCTTCGTATTCCATTTTGATTAAAGTGACAGGTAAGATACCTTCAACAATGTTTAACCTTCGTACTCTATATGAAATCACCGCATGTGTGCCTCACTATAAAGAAAACCAAGGAAAAATTCACTAGTTACAAGCATAGCCTTTTGGCTTGTTCTTGTTTTGCCAAAGCAGATTACGTTAGCAATCTTATTTCGTTTAGTTGTGTTTAAGTCCCAACCACACCTCATGTAGATAGATATAATTACGACACTCCTTGCATTAACCAAAATGGCAATGAATTCATTGTTAGTGCTTGTTTGATGATGGACGTAAAGGAACAAATTAAATTACTTCATTACCCTTGTAGCATATAGTCTATTCCAAGTCCCAGCTAGACCTAAACCCTAACCAGACTCTAACCTAGACCCAACCCAGACCTCGACCATCATTCCACACACACCACCACCAAACCAGATCTGCAACCACCAGAAACCATCCCATGCATACAATCACCAAGACCTGCCACCACCACACTTAATCTCTTCGCATCCCCCAAGCACCACCACTAGCCACCACCATCATCACCACACACACTACCATCTCAGACATAAACCTTAACACCAAAGGTTGATCCACCTCACATACCCCCACTACACCACCACCACCACCTCGCTTAAAATAAAAATTAAAAAAACAAAAACGACAACACCATAAGAATAAAAATAAAAAATCTTCAAAATGAATATCAAATTGAACACCAAATTCAATCGCTCAGCCAAACTCTGCAAAATGGGTTGCAGTTAGGCCATGCTCAAGCCATGGACATGTTTGTGTTACTCTATTCTCTTGGTTTTCTCCTCTTCAATCTGTGTTATTCTATTCTCTTGGTTTGTCACTCTTTCTCCCATTACTGTCCACATGTTGCGTTTGATCATAATGTGTTTGAATGGGGCCAAGAATTCTATGTTGTATGTGTGTTTTGTTACTATGTGTTTCTTGTAACGAGTTTTGAATTTGCGGTGCCAATGGTGGGTGGGTTATTTTAGAGAACTGTGTGTGTGTGTGTGTGCACGCGTGAGAGAGAGAAAGAGAGAGAAATCAAACCAGAACATATTGGTGATTACGTCATGGAGAACAGTGACTAAGTGAGTAGGCAGTGGCTACAGTGCTGGTGGGATGGCTGCTGCAGTGAAGAGAAAGAGCAGTGGCTGGTGGGCCATGGAGGGAGAAGAAGAACAACAACAAATGAGATGGGGAGAGAGTGTATACAAAAGAGTAACTTGGGCAATACGAATCTTCTATGACTCAAATGCCTTTTCTATCTGTAACAACCAGTCACGACTGGGCCCCCAACTTAGGGGCATATTAAGTAGAAGGGGATTCAATTTCATTTAAGGAGATGCAAGATGTGTCCTTGTAACTAGGCCAATTACAGTGGGCGTGACCAGAATTTATTCTTGTTTTTGTTATTTTTGCTTCTTTCTCAGTTTAGCTGTTCCTCATGTTGACAACAACCATTCACATCAATAACAGAATTCCCATGAACTACTCTAACTTTGTGACGGGGATCGTGTAGGAATTGGATAGATATTATAGATTAATTATGATAGTTATTTAGATACTTTTAATATTTAACTTTTAAGTTTCTTTTAACTTTTAAGGGTTTAGTTGTCATTTTGATTATTTATTTATTTTAAGGTTTGTGATCTCCTTATATATATAGGATTTATGAATTCCTTATATATATAGGGGATACATATTTGTTGAGGGACTAGATCTTGACTATTGATTATTGATTATTGATATTGAATCTTCTTTTTAAAATTCTCTCTCTATTTTCATCCCCTTCTTCTTCTTTTCTCATTCCTTTTTTCTTCCCTTCTCATTCCTAATTCTTCCCTAATACGATCTACATCAATTTAGTATCAAAGCCCAACTTCGATTAGAAAAAAAAAAAAAATTAAAAAAACAAAGTTACTATTCATTGCACTGTTCAAGGGTGCACTGCTCATCCGTGTACTGTTTATCAGTAAAAGAAATTACTTAAAAATTAAATATTAAAAGTATCTAAATAACTATCATAATTAATCTATAATATATATCTAATTCCTACACGATTTTCATGTTTTACATCCTTCAAAACATACTTTCAATCGTTTGAGCATTAATACTAGTGATGAGATTATTTTTGATCCTATCATGTTTCCTACCTCATCGGTGCTAAAAGTTGAATCACCACTAAGCATTGAACTTGATGAAAAATTCATTCAATTAGTTCCTATGCAAGATGTTGAGCACATTGAGCTATCTATTTTACAATATGTTGGCAATTATTATATCTCTATTATTCCGAATCATGATGGTATTGTTGTGGATTCTTCTTCATTTGAGATTATTGATTTTGTTTCAGATTCTTCTCCACCTGAGATTGTTGACATTGTTCTAGATTCTGTCCCACTTGAGATTGTTAACTTTGATTTTTTGCCTACTGTCAAGTGTTCAATTGAGTCTGTACTTTCTTATTTTCAGCACCAAGGTGTTATAATCACTCGTTTGTCACTGATGTCTTGTCCCATTGAATGTCTATTGTTCAAATCTAATGGGAATTGTTTTGCTATTCTTGAGTTTGGATCTAATGCTTATTTGCTTAATTTTTCATTGAATGTTAGTATTAGTCCAGATTTTTATTAGGAGGACATGCTGCTTAATCGAGATACTCCAGAGACTCCTATTTTATTCGCAGGTGTTCATACAGATAGAGATTCTTGCATTTATCCTGGTCGATGGAAAGAAGTCGATGGTTCTTTCATTCTAGATGAGGCATTATGTCATCTTCATTCTGCTCTCTAAGGGTACTTCTACTTTGAAAACTCTCCAGAGGAGAGTTTTTTTCAACCGGAGGAGAATGATGGGGATCGTGTAAGAATTGAATAGATATTATAGATTAATTATGATAGTTATTTAGATACTTTTAAGGGTTTAGTTGTCATTTTGATTATTTATTTATTTTAGGGTTTGTGATCTCCTTATATATATAGGATTTGTGAATTCCTTATATATATAGGAGATACATATTTGTTGAGGGACTAGACTTTGATTATTGATATTGAATCTTCTTTCTAAAATTCTCTCTCTATTCTCATCCCTTTCTTCTTCTTTTCTCATCCCTTTCTTCTTCCCTTCTCATTCCTAATTCTTCCCTAATTAGATCTACATCACTTTGTGTTTCATTTTGTTTCAACCTCCAATCAAATTGATTAATCTGATAAAGGTCGAATTCTCCAACCTCTAGCACAGCCTACATAGCAGACTGACCATGGAAAAAGGGTGGAGGACAGAAAAGGAAACATTTTATTTGTAGGTATAAATCAATGTTCCAATATAAGTAAAATTCTAAGGAGCTATTAAATTTCCATGGAACATCCAAACACGGCTTTAATGAGGTATATAGCTGAGGAAGACTAAATAAAGAGGAATGGATGAAATATAAATATAGAGGATTAAAGAATCAAGTACAAACACCATAGCAAGAAAGAAAACCCAAAAATTCAATCCTTTGTACCACTCTGTTTTCCAACAATCATACTTGAATTCAATCCTTTGCACCACATAGCAAGACAGAAAAACCAAAAAGTCCAATCCTTCGTAACACTTTTTTTTCTGCAATCTTACCCTAAGTAGACCATATATCAAAGAATTGGACAAAGGAAAAAAGCAAGAATGTCTTAGCTTCCATATGAAAGACAACAAAGATTCTAGCAAACTTTCTGTTTTTGATAACTAAGGTTCTAACATGAAACAATATATTTTGAACCACCCATTAACACCTAAAGATCAACAATGAAGCATTTTAACATATTCAGATTTTGAACAAGACATGTTTCATCAGCAATTGCAGGCAATATGGCACTACAAAAACTATTACTAAACAAATTGTCTGATGTAATTGCAACATATATGTGCTGCATGTTTAGCTAATCAAGCAATTTAACAGAAGCTGGTGTCGGAAGACTGGTATCCAAGCACCGATGCTCATGATGTTACTTCAATATTTTTCACCAAGATATGCAGACACTCACAGCTATAAAACCACAGTACTCACATGAAGCAGATGTTGTAGACATCTCTGACTCAAACGAGGCTCCATTATGGAATTCCAGGTATGAACGGCCTGCAACAAGCGTCCAGATCAACTACTCATGGTTCAAAGATGACCTTTGTAGTAAAAAATTCAATACAAAGAACTTCCAAAGCTGTAGCCAATGGAAGAATTATTCTACTTCTTGTTCGAGGGGAAAATTCCAAGTCACAATTCCCCGTTCTGATGTGAAAGCGAAACCAACAATCAACAACGATAAGAGATGAGGGAAAGCTTACCATCTCTAGAAAGATATCGTATCTGAGGGCCACTGTAAACTGCTTTGTGCACAACTGCTCTTTTCTTAACTTCTTCCTCCCTTGCTAGCACCCGTTCCAAGTTCCTCAAGTTCATGATTTCTGCCACATAAAATTTAATGCCAGACATATGGAGATATGAATAACATCTTATCAAATCTGAGATATTAGTTTAAAAACAAGAAGCTAATTAATCAATCTCATAATACTAATGATATGGGCTAAACCTGTTTGAGCTGCTTCCAGAAGCATTTCTTCTTGGGTCATTCTCTTTTCTTCACCTTCCTTTTTCCTTTTTATGGGCTGAGGAAAGATAGCTATTCATTTCAAACTACGCGTATGAATCTCATAAATTTGGATGAATACTTTTCGAGGGTTTCGATAGTAGGCATCTCACAAACTAGACGACATCGACTCTTGCGTACTGTTCAATAAACTTGGAATAGTGCAGAACAAGTGTATAGAAATTCAGCCAAAAATATTTTATTTTAAATGATTTAGCAAATAAATTGAAATCAAAAGGCCAAAAAATAGTCGCCTGTTTGGTTTACGTCTCAAAAAATAGTATCCAAAAATTATTTTTGAAAAGAGTTTTAGAAAATTGTTTTTGATATTTTTTGTGTCGCAAAATTTGTTTGGTTGTGTGATTTCAAAGCAATTCTATAGAATAGAAAACAGTAAAACTTGTTTGGATAGTAACACAAAAAATAATAAAAACAGAAATGTAGTAGTGGTAGTGGTGGTGGTGGGAATGTGTTGCTGGTGGTGGTGGTAAAAGGGTGGTGGTGATAGTGAAGGATCAAAATATCGTTTCAAAACGATTGAAACGTCCAAAACGTTTTCATTTCCAAGGAGGCCGAAACGAAACAGTGATGAAATCGAAATTCTAATATTTCGAGGGATGCCATAATGTTTTTAAATATATTATAATATTTCAATACATTTGCACAATTGTTTTAGAATGTTTTAAGGTATTTTAAGATATTTTGATATATTTCTATCAATATTTTGGAAAAATAATTCTTAAATTTTTTATTTTTTTCATTATGTTTTCGAAACGAGTCGAAACGTTTCCGTTTCCTAGGTGACCGAAACAATACACCGAAACGATATTTTGATCCTTGGTGGTAGTGTGGTGGTGGTAGAAGTATGGTGTGGTGGTGGTGATAGTGGTGATGGTGGTGTTTGCTAAATTTTGGAAAAGTTATATCCAAAAACACTAAATAGCTTTAACTTGTTCTCTAAATTTATCCATTTTTTGTTCTCAATTTTCAAGAAACAACTGGCCAAACAATTTTTCTCCCACAAATTATTTTCAAAAACAGAAAACAATTTCTGAAATGCAAACCAAATTGGGGCCAGAAATCTAAGTTCAAAAAACAAAAAAAGGGAAAAAGAAGGGTTCCAATCATTCTATACTGCATTTCCTAGTGAAACTTCATAAATTAATTTTAGCCTAATTTAAATACAATTACAGTGAAACGTTGTGCATAGGGTATCTATTAATTCATTTAAGGAAAATGGGTCAAAAGTGGAATCAAATTAGCAAGTTATACTGCACGCATTACTTTCTTTTAAGAACAAGAGTATTAATATAGCTACTACTTTAAAGAGCTCATCATTCATTCTTTCTAGCAAAAACCTTTGCATTTGACAAAGCAAGTTGACAGGGCTTGAAAACAAATAGTTTGGTTACTAAAGTTGACATTAGCATCAACAACCAAGAGTGGGACTTTGTACATCATCTCAAGATCCAATCAGTGTATATGGTCAATAGAACTTTGACAAGAGAAAAACATTCCGAATCAAACTGGCCGTGAAGGTAAATCTGATCCTCTATTCCAGTCATCCTATGCAATGCACACTCCTTAGTTCCCCCATTCTTTAGTATTCTGGATGGCAACAATCTCAATAGATTGCTTCAAGGATTTAAAGAACATCTAACTTCTCATAAATTACACATATAAGTTTATGCATAATGTACAAACTTTATACACTTTTGTAAATTTATGGGATTCAACCGAGCTCAAATCACCATAATTTGTAATATCATGTTTCTCCTGGCCAATGAGTACACAAATTCACTCAAAAGCAACAGAAATACATGGTCATTTTTCACCGGAAACTGAAGTTCAAATTTAGAACAACAGACAGACAGGAAACTGAGTGCTATGTGCATACTGTGTTCCTGTTGCTAAATTAGTGGCACTTTAAAGTAACTAAAGAAGCATGCTGGCACATGACAATTGGCAAATGGAACACATCCATTCAAAATCAAACAAATTATGGAATCATGCTACCAGTCATAAGTATCTACAGATGGAGGTAAATCGGAAACTGACGTCATATTCTAATAGAGTTATGAAAGGTTTCCAGATCAGGTAATGAAGCTAACTTCTTTGCCAAGAGATGAGGAGTGACCCAAGCATCTTTTCCAAGTCATTTTTTTCCCTCTTTGCAACTTCAAGGGACATTGGCCATGCCTTTTTAGTATACTCTGCAGCATTATTGTTCTATTTGACTTAAAGGGTTTCTCAACCTTCTGCCTCGTACTTGATTCCACTTTTTTCCTTTTCATTTTTCTTTTTGGCAAGTCATTCCAAAGATCAAAAAATCCAACACTTCAAAACTCGAAAAGGTAGTTTTGCTCATACACGTTCTAGTGCAAAAATACCTTTATCCATGCCAATCTACTCCTCGGTGTTCTGTACACTTTGTTACTTTTTCTACATTGTTGATCACATATATACCTGAAGTGTAGCATAATAGTGCATAAAAAGTGCTACGAGTTTATAAGTTGCACAGAATAAAAAATCAAGAACGGTCAGGAAAAAATTAGTTACAAGGAAGATGGCGTTGATGATCATCTTGATTCTAAAAAAAAATTGGCATCACATTAATCATTATACTCTGTAATCTGTATCACATTTTGATCAGGGTAATATCATCTTTTTCTGATGGAATTTGAGTCTGAATTGATATTTGTTATTAAATAGGTAAAAACAATCAATCTGTATTGGAGCTCAAAAATAATAGAAGGATGTAATTTATCCCATGTTTCTCATCTTAGTTAGAACAGAATCCACAATCACTATTTTAACAAACCTTCATTGTTGCTTGCAATGCTGCGCGTATTGCATCTCTTTCTGCTTGCCTAACAATCACTGAAGTTCTAGTAGACTTCCTGACTATCCTCTCCTCTTCTATATCATCAGGCACTTCATGATGTTCAGGGACAGTAGCCTGCTCAGGAGGTTTTTCATCCTGGGAATCTTGTTCTAGTTTTGAAAGGACCTTTTTCTTTTTCTTCTTTGCCAGTTGCTTCCCTGGAAATATTAATCGCTTCTTCCTCCTTGTTCTGTCAAGAGTAAATTGTCATAACTGCTCAGGATGTTCTTTGCTGAGTTCAAAGGCTTTAATTTAGACAGCCAAAACAAGATTGTAAACTGCCACACTTCAGAGGGATGGGAATTTAGACTGATAAGGAGCATAGTAATTGCCCTTAACTGCCCAGTAGGCTGAAATAGCTTTCCCGGGAGCCTTTAGGGTTCAGGTTTTCAGTCCCATGATACTCAAGGAACAGTGCATATCCCAGGGGCTAGACTTAAGAAATAAAACTAACCAACAACAAATTTCAAAATAGATTTATTTCTCATTGATCTAGAGAAGTCAAACCTTTCTTCTGGTTCATGTTCTGCCTCTTCGTCCAGATCAGGTTCCTGGTACCAAAAATAAGTCCCTTCACTTGGATTATGACATCAAATAGTCATGGACATTACAATAAACACAGCAGTTACAAAGAGGTAGCTCCAATAGAACTTACATCTTCATCAAAGTCACTGTCAAAAACATCAGCAACCTCTCCTTCTTCCTCATAATTGTCATCATTCTCATCCTGAAAAACGTATGAATGGATTCAGTCCAATAAATATATGGCAGAACACAAAACAGTTATTGAGAATGGTTTGTGCTTATGAAATAGATTTATGAATTTAAAATAAGGCAAAAAGGAGTAATAAGGATTACCACCATGCTCTTACACTCGTGGTATTGTTCTAAAATCTTGGTAGCAAAACTAGATTGTGGTCAACAGATAAAAATGTTTTTGTACCAGAAACTTGGGAGTGAAAACAGATCTAAGAGAAATCTGATTATCTTATTCAGTTGACAGTGAAGTTTAGTCAATTCAGAAAAAGGTGGAAATTATTGGTTTACAATTCTATAACCAGTGGCCATAATGAGAAAAACACATATAAGAGAAGATTTGCTCAATTTGATGCCTGAAGAAATTAAAACAGCTGCATGAGGTGCAAATGTCCCCACGTTCCTGAAACATAAAATTTTGTTCAAGTCAAGGAAAAAGGGTTAGCTTGATCCCTCCTTAGTAGATCTCTAGAAACAGACAATATTGGTGCAGGAGAAAGTTCAAAATTTTGTAGGAACGTGCATCAAATAGGAGACTGCAAAAGACCCCCTCCCTTGACCCGGCTTGATGTCAATCATTGGTAGCATTAGCATTTCTGCTTTTTCTATTCTTGCTCCTCTGTTTCTTTATCTCGTGTCTAGAAGATTGAGTCAATTCTTCTTTCAAGGAAACCTTTTTCATTGAAGATTTCTAATAATAATATTTGTACTTCATACATTGAAAGAGTAAAAGGACAGCACATGATGCATGCATGTAACTGATCCCGAGATAATTGAGACAATGCTCAGTTGAGTAGTAGAGTATTATTTTAACCAAGAAATAAGCACATATACAAAACCCCAAAAATACAATCTATGAATGCAGTATTCAATTAGTCTAGCGACGAGAGATAATAATAAACAACAAAAGCATGGTACTAAACTGCAGGTGAGTGACTACCTCTTTAAGAGCATCCTGATTCCAAAACAGCTCATCCTCTTCAATCTCCTCATCAAGCAACTTGGTCATCCTGACAACGGCTTATCAATATGGAATCAAATTCTTTCAGGGTTTCAATTACCATTGCGCCTTATTTATTAAAACAATCACATTGACATTTGAGGAAAGTCATGGAAACCTCATGAGTTTTGTGTACTGCAAGTGGTAAACTGAGACACTCTTATGACATATATCAGCACAAATTCTAATTCCCCATTTTCTCCATTCAATTGGATTTTAAATTTCTTAACCGGGCCAATTAAAGTTTAATGGTCATTTCATTATGGAATTCCACTTAAAAACTCCAATAGGTGGTCATCACATCATTTCTCAACTATCAAAGGGTCCACATTTCTTTTACCAAAACCTAAGAAGCACTGATACGGATATGAATACGGGATACGAGATATGGATACGATACGATAAAATATGGATTACAACAAAATTTTAAAAAGTAGGATACGGGTATGATTAAGATACAGCTATAATAAAATATATTTATTATTTTTAACCAACATAATACATATATATTTTTGTAGTTCTTTAACACAATAAGAAAAATTAGTAATTCTTTTTAGTTTTAAGAAAATATATATCGTATCACTGTGGTATATTCACAAAGTGAAATGATTAATTAAATAATCAAAACTAATATTTATAGAACCGGTTAATTTAGAAGTAATTTTTTCTAAAACTATAATATAATAAATTTATTTATGCTCTTTAGACATGTAATTGTAGATAACACTTAAAAAATATTCATGTGCCTTTGAAGTAGTATGAATTTTTGTAAATGTATTATATGGTATGTGATTCGAAAGGAAATGTTAAAAATTCGACTCAAAACTTATATATGTTATTTAAATACAAAAGTATGCATGAAATATCTTAATATTTAATTATTATTGGATATGTAGGAGGCGTATCCAATCCGTATCCTCGAGTATCGGACGAGTATCGTATCCGACATGGATACGCCTACCTCAACAAATTATCCTTCATAGACCAAAACCCAGGGATTATAGTTCAATTTACTATCAGTTAATATTGTTTTCTTGTTATGTCAAGATATAATGCGTCTTCTACAAAAGACAAGAGACTCAAGAATATAAAAGCAAACCTTTGATACTAAGATAGTAAAAACATGCACCTACATACATCAATACCTGGTGCACTTGCCAAGTGATAAATGTTGGCCACTAAGGCGACGGATGCAAAGGTTTGATTCCCAACATTGTCATTGCTAACAAACAAAATACTCATATATGTAAATAAATGAGAGAATAACAAAAGGGTCTTACCGTTTCCCTCTCGTTGCTCGAGAAACGCGGTCAAGAAATACAAGCTTCTCTTCTTTGCTGGTTTCCATTTCTATGTCAGCTAATTGGTTTTCCGCCCTTGTAATCTTCCCCTTCAAAATTTCATCAACGAAGGCCAAAGGCAGAAAAAAAGGCCTTTATGCGCCTTACTACAGAATCCTATAAAGTTCATCCATCAACATTAAGATTGTTTGAGACACTAATCATCGAAACAGCACCAAGACTTTTCATCGAACATCTTATGGGCATAGCATATGTGCATATATATGACATCACAATATGGAGACAGAGAGAGAGAGAGAACTAAAATTACCAATTGGGGGAGCGAAACTGTGCGATCGCTCCGACTGAAAATCTACTCGCGGATTTGGTGACTAACATGTTCAAAAAAAGAAAAAGATTTGGTGAAGATTAAGAGAAGTTGGCACAGTGGAGCCCATTCCGCCTGCGTGGGTCATAATTGAGCCAGCTTATAATAGCATCCGGCGGCTGTGACTGGGCTAAAAACGTCTGGCCCGAGACCGAGCCGGGGGACGTTAATATGATGGGCTACGAGGTGCCTCCGTCATTTATTTCGAGTTTGATGGTTTGCGGTTTTGATTGAAATAATAAAAAAAAAAATTATACACGTGACGTATTTTTATTAATTAAAAAATAAAAATATAATATGATACGAAAAATATTTTTTCGATTCTATAATGGGACTCCTAGAAAAATTTGCCTAAGGTAAATATGATTATACATAATTTCTATCTTTGGATGTGTCAGCAAAAATATCAGTAATTTTTTTAAATATTTCACAAAGTACCCTATAAAATATGAAAACTCACTAGAACAAAATTATGATTACGGTATTGAAATGCTATTTTTTGATGCTATATTTTCATTTTTGCACCTAATAAAAACACGTCACATGTAATGTTTCTTTATTCTATTACTTTTTAGTAATTTACTAGTTGATGCATATAAGCATTGCATGTTAACTATTTTAAGTATGATATAAATTTTATACATGACATTTTAAAAGAAACAAAATTATTTTAAGATTTACAGATGAGAAAAGAGATACAAAAGCCTATAAAGTTATATCACAAGACATGATTGGAGGAGTTTCGTTTGCCAATATATATACGTAAATATATTGCAACTTAAGTTGCCAAAGGAAATGCACCTAGCTAATCATGTTTTACTTCAAGTCTTGCTTCAAAACATTTTAAGTTTGCACTTGTGCACAAACTATCTCATTCATGACACTAAAAACATTAAAAAAGCACAGCAAAACGGGGAATCATTAAACCATTTATATTTTGTCATAGAAACCTATGATCAAAAAGACAAATATCTTTCATAGGACACAAACTTGTAGGAATTCTAATGTGTACCAAATGTACTAATATACAACATTACAAAGATTAAACATAATAAATCCGTAAGTATTTGGAGATAAATGGTTGTAATTGAATAGTTGGTGAGTTGTTTTTTCTATTCATTAATTGTTAGTTTAGAGAAGTGACATTCACAACAAACAAACAATAGAAAAAGATGGGGGAATGGATTTAAGAAATGAGCAATGCTATATAGATTTAAAAATTTTGATTTAAAAATTTGACTTTATGATGTGGTTGTTATATTTGTCATTAATTTAGTCGTGGATCCTAATATTTATTGAGGCTCATTACCTATTCAATGATAGTGATTTATTATGTCAAATTTTTAATTCAATTTTTTAAGTCTATTTAGCATTTTCCTTGAGAAATACTTCAACAATAAGCATTGGCCCTTTTTTAAAATTTTGTCATAGTTATTTTCTTGTATGAGTAAATAGAAAAATACTCCATGCCTGCAAGTGAAATCACCATATGTTTTGGTTAGAATCTTTGTATCTAGGACTTTAGACCATGAAAATTCTCTCTAGTGCTATAACAGTCACGACCTAGATCAAGTAACAGCATTAATCCTCTTCACTTGTAAAATTAGATAGCATAACAATGTTTAGAAGATTGGGTTAACTAGCTAGATCAACAAATAGTAGCCTACAGGTAAATTCATGGGAAATGATTGGATCGAAAATGAAAATCGAAAAAAAACAAGCGTTCCAGAGATCAAAAAAATACATCAAGAAGCCAGTCGCTTTGCGTGAGATCTCAATATCCCTAAGAGAGGGTATAAAAGTAGAACATTTTTCTAGACAAATTTGTTTTTGCCTAAACCATCTTACAAATTGAGGATTATATTTTTAGGATCTCAAAAAAAAAATAATCAAAGTAAATATCCCACACACAATTGACACAAGAAATAAATCGAGAAAGCAAAATTAAGAGCTCCAAGTCTCCAACCAGACGAAACATAAAGTTGAATAGAAGAAGCTGCTACACAAAGTAGTCTTGCAATAAAGGCTTTTTAAAGCAATTAAAAAACTAATACGAATTCTATAACAAGATTGCACACATACTGCAGCAATACCAAGACTTCTAGAATCCTATGGGGTTAGCATTACAAAACATATTTAATTTTAATTAAAAACTAAAAACTATTTTCCAAGAGACAAACTATGACAAACACGACAAAAAGAAATGATTAAAGCTACAATAAGTTACTAATATTATTGATTATTTATTGTAAGAATATGTAGAGTCTAACTGTTAGTGACTTTCATCGTATACTATTAAGCACAGAAATAGGAGACCGCTCCAATTCTGCCAAGTGATACACTCAATTAATGCACACTCGCTATTTATCCCAAAATTACCAGCTCCTAAAACCAGATATGGTATCGATAATATTTTTTTTAGTATCATAGCTTCTCACTACCATGGTTGGACCCTCAAACTCAAATTATATATTGTAGTTCTTAGTTCAGGATAAAATTGACTTTAGAATATCAATCAATGGTAAAACTAAAAATCCAAGATTTTTCAATTAGATATCTTTTGTGTGCAATATATACATATACACATAGTATTATACATATATTCATATGAAAATATGTATGTGTGAGTATGTGTGTGTGAGTATGCACATTTGCTGAGATGTGAAATCAATTGTTATAGCCTTCCATGATCCCTCACCATAAAACCATAAGTCGGAGTAGTTGAAAAGTTGATCATCTTTTTTGAAGGGTGTCTTATGGAGATAAATAGTAGTGGCCTTTTAAATATTTCATTAATTGTATAGTAGAAAATGATCATGTGTGATAAAAGTTTCTAGCATCAAAGGATAAAGTTGACATTAAAGGATTAATTAGGGGTGGAAAAGGAAAAAAAAAGTTTTTCATGATAAGAGACTTTTATTAATAGTATAGATTTTTTCTATCAATGATTGTAAATCACTCAAATTCATATTGATGATCCAAATTTATTTTCAGTACGAAACCTTTAGGTGCCCTTGATATGCCTATATTTTTAGGGGTTGTGGATATCCTTATCCCTTGCTACATTGATGATCCGTTTATATAGCAAATTCTTAAGGAATATTTGAGGAATCTTGGCTAGAATCTTTAGGCCCAAGGTAAGATGGGATTGCTTTATGCCCAAGCTAAGGTTGGGTTTCCTTGGGAGGCACTCCTTATGTCCATTCAAGTAATTTTCATGATGAAGATCAATCATTATTTGACAGTGGTACAATGAACCTGGAGCAATATCCTTGTTCCAAGCTTTCTTTAGATCGGCTCGTATTTAATGGTCTGCCTCAGGTATGATGACTAGGTTAGGAGGTCTAACTTGCCTATTTTTTAGTATCATCAGTTGCATCCCCCAGCCCCAAGCTAGACCTGGATAGGCTCCTAGTTGGAGTTGAGTTGGTGGATCACGTTATCCATCATGTCTCTAGGATTGCGCAAAACTAAAAAGATGTATCTGACCAATGTCCCATCAACTTGCAGTTATGGTAGCGTATCACGTGTGTGTCACCTCAGTTTTTAGCTCATGTTCCTTAAGAGGTGACATGTGTCCCATATGTGCTTGCCTATTAAATGCTCTTAAATGCACTTTAATCGTCAAACACTCTTTCAAGTCCAACCAATCCCCACCCTCTTCATCTTTTTCATCTTCCTTCTTCTAATTAGAGAGAGAAAGAGAACCAGAGAAGTTTGGTTTACCACTGTTGTTCCCCCTTACTAGAGTTTGTCATCTTCATCGTTTTTCGAGGCCATTTGGCCCTTCTTGTAGGTATGTTTCACTTTTATCTCCCATTCTGGATCCACCTAACTATTGGTGGTGGTAAGATAGCTTTTATTTTGTTTTTTGTAGGGTATGCTACCATTAGGAGTATCAAAATATCACACGATTCGTTAACATGATATCAACACGATACAAGATTAAAGGATTTGGGTCTTCCTTAAGTCACTTATTTCATCAATGAGTGGAAACATGACACGACTAATAAACAAATTAGGTATGTATGTAGTCAACCAAAAAGAAATACACATGATTCATACACTACACAAACTCAATATAATACAATTCATTAGACACGAATTAATAGATGAATCAAGAATTGGTGTAGTGCTTTTGACATGAACCCATTACTACTTGACACAAATTCTCTTCACATAACAGGCCTAGCCACCATAAGTGGCTAGGTAGAACCTTGAAACCCCTTTCTCATTTAGTTAGTCACCCTGTCGTAGCAAGGATATCCCTTATTTACAACTTCTCTTTTTAGCCCTAATCCTTCATTAATAGTCCATTGTATCTACCTCGTCTCTATCTTATGTGCTCGTTTGGTTGTCGTATTAAAATTACATGGATTGGATAAAGGAATACAGTCTAATACAATACAGATGGATAAAAGACAAGATTAAATAGGGTATTAGAATAATACATAATTTTATCTAGTGTTTGACAATACACAACATAAGCATTGGATAGTAGTTATTTAGTCTAAATTGTTGTTTTGCTAGGAATTATTTCATCGTATTAAAGTTGAATTAATAAAAGACCCGCAATTAGTATTTGTTACGTTGATGACAGCTTGGTTTTATCAATTGGGGGGTTATAATAGTAAATGTGTACAATAATATATTTGAGTTGAATTATAATGTTACCTCTCTTTGTGGTATTAACATACCTTCATAATATAGGTCTATCGTACAAAAAATATACGATTAGTATCTGTTTTTGAAATTAATATGGAATCAAATTTGTCTAACAAACAAAGTATTAGACCCAATTAAATAAATAATAGTACAATCTAATATCTAATCTACTTATAATACGTCTACCAAACTAGCCCTATAAGTCTATGCAACCTCCAAGAGTGGTTGTGTTGACCTCAGTAATGTTTTAGAGGATGTGGCTCCTCTAATCATGGTTCTTCCTGACGAGGCTACCTCTCATAGATCTGTGAATGTCCTCAGGAAGGCAACTATGATGGGGCCAAGGAGGCCCCTAGATACCTTACCTAGGAAATTTGTCATTGGTGCCTTAGTAAAAAGGAAGAATATGCTATATGATTTGGATGACCTGACATGTTGCGCTGATTGTGTGCAAAGCATGGTCACCATGTCTATGCAAGTTCTATCAAGAACAAGCATGAATTCCCTGAGGAGGTGGTGGTTTCTACCCCTTCTAAGGATGAATGTTGTCACATCTATTATACTAGATATCTACTTCTTTGAGGCGACTCTCCAAGTCTACTTTAGAGTTCCTTTAAGCCCCTTTAGTAGATCAGTTCTCTAACACTTAAACCTCTACCCTAAGTAGTTATCCCCAAATGAATAAGCACTATTGATGGGGACACAAGTGCATTAACGTGAGAGTGACAATTATTCTTCGTTCATACTTTCTGAATTTTTTCACTTTTTCCAACTGAAACCTTCTCCTTTTAAGGGTTTCTTTAATTTACCAAGAGGATTAGCTTACCTGAATTGGTCATAAAAATCCGTTCTTCTAACAAGTTTTGGAATAAGAACTTTTCTTCGTGTCCTTGACTTCAGGCAGCCACCACTAATGCAAGTAAGCTCATCTCCTATTTGTCTTTATTGATACGTTTGCTAATGGAATCTGATAGTTGACCTATCATTGTTCTCGTTTGTAGATTTTACCTTATAATTTCTTAAGTTTGAGGAGGCTATATCAGAAAGTCAATTAAATACGGTGCTAGGTTATAGGCTGAGCTTGTTACTCCTTAGAAGCTTGTCAAATACCAACTCGGCTTAGCTAGTGAAGAACCCCTTTTTGGTAAGTTTCCAAGTCTTTTGTTTTATGTATCTTCACCTTTGTAGATCTTGGAGTCAAGAAAAGGAGGAAAAGAAGGAGTTGTGAGGCCTCCTAAGCAGTTCAGGTGCTTAGTGAAGGGCCCAAAGAAGCCATGGTTGAATCATATTCTGCTAGGGCATCTGATCTCCCTCGAATTGAAAAAATACCAACTGATAGGGATGTCCATCCTGAAAGCCCTATTGTTGTTGAAGAGGATCTCTTTTTACATCAATATGAAGAATTTCATGAGGAACATGTCGGTAAGACCCTTGAGGAAGTCATCTCTCATGGCTTGGAAGAAAATAATCAAGGAAGAATCTGGATTGTCCCTATTCGTCAGAATTCGATCGAGTCAGTCGAGAGCTCAGACTCTCTATTGTGTAATCCTTTCTTGGCTTCTTGCTAAATTTTTTCAGTCATCTCCAAGCTTGACGTCCATGAAGCGACCAACGATAGTGCTAAATACATGGCCAAGGCTACTTTCCTTGACCTTGCTAAGATATTACTCTATTCTTGTCTTTTATTTTTTATATCAAGACTTAGTAGGAATTTCTAAGTATACTCTAAAGATTTTTGTGTGTAAGTTGCTATCCATCTGATGCTTGAGAGAGACAGAACTGATAAGGCGTTTGAGTCCAATATGACTAGGGAGCTAGTTAAGAAGGTGAGCAGTTAGCTGAACATCAACAAAGTGGCTAGCTCTAAACTAAAAGAGCAACTTAAGAAAAAATAATTTGAGCTTTTGAAGGCCTAGAACAAGTTGTTGGAGGTGAAACATTCTACTGAGAAGGCTATGGTAGAGGAGGAGGTTACTCTCCTAAGAAAGTAGCTGGAGAAAACCATGAAGACATGGAGACCAAATTGCGTACCAATTTTGACCAAGTTGTGAAGGCCTTTCAAGATTCCAATTAGTATGAAGATGATATATTGGAGAGCTATTTAGATGGATATGATTCCTTCAAAGCTAAAGCAAAGGAGAAGTATGGCAACCTCAACTTTGATTCCTTCAAAGCTTCTTTTGATAAGGAAGACCAAGAAGGAGTTTGAGGAGCCGGCTAGATGTCTGGAGTGCCCTTTTTTCCCTTGGTATTTTTTTTTATGTTGTAATAATAAAGTCTGGAGACTGTAGGTGCATGTTTTTCCCTTTTCACTTCTTGAAGGTCCAAAAGTAGGCCTTGTAAAAGTGATAAAATTGTTTTGACTAACCAGTCCAAATTGGGTGATACTGACAAATAATCATCTTGAGCTAAATAGCTTGAATATTCTAGTGATTAAGTGCTCGAGCACACTTATGTTGAGTAATCTCTTCGTCTCTAACTTAGCAGTCTAGAGTTATTGGCCGAGCTAATTAATCTCTTGGGATGAACATCATGAAAAGGGTGTACGTTGCTGCGTATACTTTTATATGAATTTTTTGAGTTCTGGCCATGCAAAAATCAGTGTGATGTATTTTCTTGCTAAATTAGAAAAAAGATGTGCCTATTAAAACTCAAAGGTATCCCTAAAAAGGGAGAGTATTTACAAGTAATGACAAAAATCCCTGAAAAAAGAGTGTTAAGATTCAACTATGCTAAATAATGAATGCAAAAAATTGACCAAAAAAACTATTATCAACCAATAATATTTTCTAAGATGTTTTGTATTCCAAGAGTGTGTTAGAGTTTGTCTTTGCTCAATTTGCAGCTCATAGTTTTCAAGTTTGATGACTTTTTTGACTGGGTATGATTCTTCTCGATTAGGTCTGAGCTTGCCATGGTGAGGGTCTTTTATTGCTAGCAAAATCTTTTTTAGGACTAGGTCTCCTTCCCTGAAGCTTTTCTTCTTGACTTTCTGATCATAGTACCAAGATGTCCTTTGTTACATGCTCTAATGTTTTGGAGAGATTTGTTCCTTTGTTTTGTTGAGCTAGTCTAGGCTAAGGAGTAATGACCTGTCATTCTATTCTGGTCGGATTAGCTCAATTCATGGCATGAAAGCCTTATCTCAATTACAACCTTTGCTTCTGTTCCAAATGACAAGCTAAAGGGAGTTTCATTTGTGGTTGTCTGAGTTGTAGTTCTATATGCCCATAGAACGTTGGGGAGATGATCTACACATTGATTTTTAGAGGCTTCAAACCATGTCTCGATGCCTCCACTACAGTCATAATTGTCACATCTTCTTGTTTGTTGGCCTACGGATGAGTTGGTAATGAGTATTAATTTTTGTTACCTAGCTTTGAACAGAAGCTTCTGAAACCCCTATTGTCAACTTGTTTTCTATTATTTATAATTATCGCCCTTGGGATACAGAACCTATAGATGATGGATTTCTAAACAAATTTTTTCATCTTTTATTTTGTGATTATTGCTAATGGTTCCACCTCTGCCCATTTAGTGAAGCAGTCAATTGCAACCACTGCAAATTTGCACTGACCAACTCCCTGAGGAAAAGGTCCCATACTGTCTATCCCCCAATATTGGAAGGGCCAATAACTAAAGATGGGGTGAGTTGTTCAGGTGGGCATTTGGGAATGCTAGAGTGGATTTGATAGGCTTTGCACCTTTTGACTAGGGCAGATGAATTTTTCATGATACTTGGCCGATAATACCCTTGTCTCAAGGCCTTGTATGGTAGAGTTTTGCTTGATGTGATTTCCACAAATTTCTTCATGGATCTCTTGAATGAGAGGTCAGTAGTACCCTCTTTTATACAACCTATCCTATATAATCAGGAATTGGGTTGACCGACATATGCGTTTTTTTTTGCTTCCTTGGGATTCTTAGGGAGGACCCCATCTCGAAGGTAATTGAATATAGGGTCCATCCAGTTTGGATTTTCCTATACTAGCATGACCTCTTCTTCTGAGCTCTGAATAATTCCTAGCTTAGGTGTTATGTTGGAACTATCTTGCTCAAATTCACCTGTGTAGAAGTAACAAGTTTGCCAGAGAATTTGCATGAGCGCTATCCACTTTAGGCACTTATATAATCTCAAAGTGGATAAATCTACTTAGTAACTCACTTATAATTTGGAGATAGGTGGTAATATTGTTGTCTTAGGTGTTACACTTTACTTCGACTTGCCTAACCACCAGCCAAGAGTTGCTATGGATTACTATCTGTTAAGCTTCCATCAATTAGGCTAGTTTGAGTCTGAAAACAAGGGCCTCGTACTCTGCCTCATTATTGGAGGCCTTAATATTAAATCTCAAAGCATATCTGAGCTCTATCCCTTCTAGTGAGGTCAAGGTTAGTACATGTGTCTAGTCGAGCTCAAAAGAAGAGTTCTACTTATTATTATGCTTATTCAACTAACCTCTCTCTCTTTCTCTATCTATCTATCTTTACGTGATTAGATAAGAACTACAAATGCTAAGGACCCTCCACTTCCTTGAGCATTCATGCTCTATTACATACAACTTTCATATCGGGATATATGTTTCATATCCCTCCTATAGAGAGAAGATTCTTGCTCTGGTTATGAGGTAAAATCTATGATAAAATTAGTCAGGACTTGGCTTTTTATTGTTGTATAAGATTTGAACCATATGCAAAATTGTCCTAACCTATAACCCATTTTTGACCAGTCTATTGGAGGATTCAAGCTTGTAAAGGATGTTTTTCATTGGCTGTTCTGTAGGTACTACAATGGCATAGTCTTGGAAATAAGGTATGAGCCTTTTGGCTGCTACTACAACTTTAGAATTAATCACCCAAATATAGGTTGAGCAAAGTAATATATTCTCGGGAGTCCGAGGTCATACCACATGGAATTGGTGAAAACTTGGAATATAATAAAATTAAAAAAAATTGCTTTGGAAATGGTTGAGAAAATTGGTTGTTAGAGATAATAGTAAACTTCGATTTAAAATAGTAATTGGAAGATTCCAAAGCATGAGAGATCTTTTTTCACTTTCACACAATATATATTTTGATATGATTTTCATACTTAATTAAGAATCAGTTGAGGGGTCATCTTAGTCAGAAGATTAAGCAGTGATAATATTGAAAACAAGTCCCAAAAGATATCATTGATAAATTGATTGCATAAAAATCAATACTTAACTATAGATTATAAGCATTCACTGTGCCCAAAGTTAACGATGAGTCAAGCTTTCTAACAATTGAAACATCTTTTCAAGACAAATAATAAACCAATTGTTTTTATGAAAATTCTAACTGATACAGACAAACAAAATCAGTTATTTGACTCACAATGAATCTAAATCAATCTATGTACGTGACACAACAAATTAATAGATTTTACAGTGAAAACACTTTACCAAACACAAGAATCAATTAATAAGAAAAATTATGCATTAAAATAACATTGAATTAGAATACATATTGTGCTTTATTAAAATAATCACCCCTAACTTTAGTTGGGGATTTAGCAATCCATAAGCAAAATTACAACAAAAACTAGAGGAAAGAGTTGAGGGCATGTGATATGTAGAGGAGACGACCCCAGCACATTGAGGTAAGGTTGTCCCAATATGACCTGATAGGCTGAAGAGGCCTCGACAACCAAGAACTTAATTGTAGTTGTTGCTTGCCGAGGCGGTTCACCAATAATTAGTACCAATTTGTATTGACCCAAGGGCAAAGACTTTTTCTCCATAAAAACTGATGAGTGGAGACTTGATTGGCTGTAACTTTTCTCGCCTAATTCTGAGATGGTTATAAGCTCCTACAAAAATAATATATGTCAGTCTACTATTGTCAATCAGGATTCTATGGACATTCTTATTAGCAATGATCTCCTTGATGACCAAGGGGTCTTCATGCGGATTTTGGCATCCTGTCATGTCAGCATCAAAAAAAATAATCTTAGTATTGAAAATACTTCCTCATAATTTTTTATTCGAGCCTTTCACATGTGGAATTTTTGAGTTTAGCTGGAATCTCCTCTTCCAGCAAAAAACCTCAAGATAACTTTAATTTCCCACATGGGCTGTTGATGTTATTGCCAACAAGGGTTGCCTGTTATGGGTCTCTAGCTCGAAGGTCTACATCATGAGCTACAAACCACCTAAGGTGGTCCGTCTAAATGAGATATTTGATATCCCTTTTCAATTAGATGCACTCACTAATGTCATGCCCATGATCACGATGAATGCTACAATGCGTTGTCATGTTTCTTTTCTGGGTATCTTACCTCATCTTCGAACTTTAAGGAATTTCTTATGTTGTACTTGGTGCAACACCTATGTTGTTAAGGTGTTCAAGGGTATGTAGCACCCTATGATGAACTTTGGAGGGTAGTTCTTCTTTGGTGGTCCAAGTCTTTCTTGAACATTTCCTCTTTTTTGAGGTGAAGAAGCTTTCTTCTTCTTATGACTAGTGTCCTTCCTATTTTTAACTCTTGGTGATTAGTCATTGTTAAAGAGCTGCTATGGGCTTGGAGGACCTATTCTCCATTCATGTACTTTTCGACTTTAGAAAGTACACACCATGATCATATGAGAATTCTTGGACACCAAAAATAAAAATTCAGATGGCTGAAGTCCTCAATAAAGGCTATTAGAGCTACTTTCCCATCGGGGTTATCAATGTATAAGGTTTCTAATTGGAAATATTGGACGTCCTCGTTGTCTCATGGGGTTTTTGCTTGATGTTAAGGAGGTATAAAGTCTATTTCAGATGACTTCTTGCTCCTGTGAAGTGTGACACAAACAACATGGAGAACTATTTGAATGAGCTGATCATCTCTGGTAGTAATTTTTTGTACAAGTTTAGGGTAGATCTTTTGAGGGTAATCACAAAGACACGACATCTGATCGGGTCATGATAACCATGGAATTACATCAAATTTTTGTAGGTGTTCAAGCGATTGAATAGGTCTTTGTTGCCATTGAAGTCTTCCATAACTAACATCTTGAATTTGGATGGGAAGATCAGGTTCTAGATCTCTAGAGTGGAAGGAGATTCGATCTGCTGCACCAAGACCCCCATTAAGATTAGGGTTTGTTTTTTATGAAATTCTTCATGTTTCCTAATTCATCCTAGAATTCCTTAATATTCCTTTCCAAATACTAGTTCAAGGGAAATGGCCTCAGAGGAGGC